ACAAGACAAGACAAGACAATACAAGACAAGACAAGACAAGACAAGACAAGACAAGACACAAGACAAGACAAGACAAAACAACAAAACAACACAAGACAAGACAAGAAAAGAACAAGACAAAACAAGACAACACAAGACAACACAAGACAACACAAGACAACACAACACAAGACAACACAAGACAACACAAGACAAGAACAAGACAAGACAAGACAAAACAAGACAAAACAAGACAAGACAACATAAGACAACACAACACAACACATAAACTTTTAAATCCATAAATGTATTTGATTGGTTTGAATTTACTTCTCTGTATCTAATACTAGTTTTATACTACAAATAAGTACAATTATAGTATTAGTAACTTTCTACATATAGACGCAGTTACATTCAAACTAGACTGAACTATATAATAAATGTTTACCGTGGAGAGGAGACAGGAGGGGTTGGGATTGTATATTGACAGGTGGGTGTGTAGGCTTTTTAAAATTTTAAAACAGTGTGAATAAAAAAATAACACTTCGCAGACAACTATGATTGATTTGCTTGTTTGTTCAGTCTTATTTTTAAATTCATTGTTCCGAATATCTTTTTGTAAACTTATTAATCAATCTTACTTTCTGTTCAGAATTTGGTAAACAGAATCTGCCTTCCACCCCTCGCTAACAGACTGAAAAACCTCCCCCTCCCCCCTCGCTACTGTTGGTTCTTCATGCCATAGTTTTCACAGTTCCAATGTGTGAATGAATAGCAGGAAATGCAAGTGATAAAAAGAAAGTTTTTTAGTTAAATTAAACAAGTGGCAACAATGCGAAGGGGATGGTTTAAATTAGAGGGGAAAACATGAGGACTATAAAATATCTACGTATTTTTAAAGCCGTCGAAAATACGTTGTGGAATAATAAACATAAAGATGACAGATAATAAAACTATAGTTGAAACAAGATGTAAATCTATATTCATAAATCAAAACTGTAAATTGTTCGAAGGTTTTTAAAACCTTTTTTAAAAAAATGCATTAATCCACACTTTGATATAAGTTAGTCCCAAGTGCAACTGTGAATAATAAAGTTAAATAATGAAGTTGAAAATTATTCTTTTGCATTTTCTATGCACAGTATTTACAGCAGCTTGGGATGAGAAGGTATCAAGCTAACTAGGAAAATATTTATTCTAATATAAATGTGCAAAATTGATATTAATACAAATAAAAACAATGCTAGTGTTTTTTGTTGTGCATTGTTTTGTAAAATAATCTATTTTGTTGATAATTTTAAATTTTTTGTAGTCATTATAAAAATTATCATAGTAATATCAATAAGAAAAATAACAATGATAACAAGAATAATGATAAAGTAAAATCAACATTTCTATTCTGTACTCTGTAATTATATAATGATAATAGTAATAATAATAATAAAAATACTAATACTGATAATAATAATGTTGAAAAAAAAAATGAGGATTATAAAAAAGTTAAAGTTATAATAATGAGAATAATGGTAACAATGAAAATAATGAAAACCATGATAATTAGAAAAAGAAAAAAACTATGATATTAATAGAGATAACAATGATAACAATGATAATAATGATACTCTATGCAGGTGCTGCATGAGATGGAGCTGGTGAAGACCCTGAAGGAGTTCTCCAACCAGCTCCAGAACTCCTTGGATAATATTCACAAGTATACTCATGAGGTTAATAAGGTAAAGAAAGGAGAAATGAAGGAAAGAAAGAAGAAAGGAAAAAAGGAGAAATGAATGAAAAGAAAGGAAAAATGAATGAAAGAAGAAAGACAGGAAAGAAAGGAGAAATTAATGAAAGAAGAAAGTAAGAAAAGAAAAGAGAAATCAATGAAAGAAGAAAGGAAGAAAAGAGCGGAGAAATCAATGAAAGAAGAAAGGAAGGAAAGAACGGAGAAATCAATGAAAGAAGAAAGGAAGAAAAGAACGGAGAAATCAATGAAAGAAGAAAGGAAGGAAAGAAAGGAGAAACCATAAAAGAAGAAAGAAAGGAAAGAAAGGAGAAATGAAGGAAAGAAGAAAGTAAGGGAAAGAAAATGAAAGAAAGGAGAACTGAAGGAAAGTAGAAGAAATAAAGGAAAGATGAAATAAAGGAAAGAAGAAATGAAGGAAAGAAGAAATAAAGGAAAGAAGAAATGAAGGAAAGAAGAAATGAAGGAAATGAGAAATGAAGGAAATAAGAAATAAAAGAAAAGAAAAAATGAAAGAAAATAGAAGAAATGAAGGAAGGGTGGGTGGTAACCAAAAATTAAACTTATGCCGGGGGCATCATGGGGATTAATTGAAATCTTTGTAAAAAAAACTTAAATCTTAAATCAAAATGATGATTTAAGGAAAGTAGAAGAAATAAAAGAAAGAAGAAATGAAGGAAAGAAGAAATGAAGGAAAGAAGAAATGAAGGAAAGTAGAAGAAATGAAGGAAAGAAGAAATGAAGGAAAGAAGAAATAAAGGAAAGAAGAAATAAAGGAAAGAAGAAATGTATGAAGGATGGGTGTCTTAGTGGTAACCAAAAATTAAACTTATGCCGGGGGCATCATGGGGATTAATTGAAATCTTTGTAAAAAAAACTTAAATCTTAAATCAAAATGATGATTATTTAAAATAAAATACGGAGTTATGCAGAAGAGACAGGGAAAAAGAAATGAATTATAGTTGAAATGTACATAAACGACAAATAAAAACATATATTGATGTCATTTTTTACTTTTGCAATAACATTTATTACAAACCATTTCTTTTTTATATTATTCCTATTCTCAACAATTCTTCTCTTTCAAAGCGAATAAAAATATACAGAGTTAGCAGTAACAGCTTTAATAAAGGTTCAAAACATTTATTCAGGTTTTTAAAATTTGATTAATGAAAAACTTGAAAGAACAAAGAAAGAGAAAAATAATAATTTTAAGAGTTTTAATTTACTAACGCTTAAATGTTAACTCGGAGAGAAAGTTTTGGTAAATGTACAAATGTCAGAAACCTATTCTGTTTTCTCTAAGCTTGGAAAATAAAACAAAATGAATTCTAGTTTCGTGAGTGTTGTCTGTTTATCTTTCTATACGAGGCAGCATTTTTCTCTTTCAAGTTCCAACTGAATCTCAACAAATAATCCTGCTCAATAGATCGTGTAGAGAGAATCTGAACATTATTAAATATGTTCTTAACCGAGCATAAAATATTTCTTTTATGTTTCATACCTTAGCGAAACAACGATTGAATGTTTTTTGAGAGATTTCTTTAGATATTGTAATTCACAAGATTTCCCACTAACTGAGATCTTGCCAGGCTTAATTTTTTTGCATAGAACGTGCTGGGTCGTCTTTTACTGGGTAGCCCGATTGGACGGTACAACTGAATGCATATACAGTACGTTTTGTTCCGTGGCGGCGCGGATCATATGACTTTTAGAAAGGTGTGTTTTCTAAATATACGACTAGATTAAAGCTGGAGGAAGACATGAGTGAGCGGAAAACTATTGCAAAGTCCCCGGACAGTCGTCTCTGAAGTCTCATTCCTTGAGGGTAACTCTGTATTATTGTAGATCTACGCGGCAGAGTGCCCCGAAGCCAACTGTTCCCAAGATTTCATGGTGGATAAAATAGTAGGCAATCCCATTTATAACTACCAGGTTTGTAAACAATATACAGTGCTCGGCGCTTATATTAATATCATAAAGACGACTTTTCCGTTTAGGCTTTGATTTTTAACGAGTTTTATTCAAATTACAAGTTTACAACATTAAAATAATCTGTTAATTGGCAGTTTCTCTTGTTTCCATATTTATGTGTATTAAATCTATTTCAAACCTTGGTTAAAATCAAGATTAAAATAAAATTAGTTTTCTTTGTATTGATAAATACGACGACGACTGTTATGTCCATTGATAAAATTTATTCCGGTACAAGGCTCTAAATTGTATGCTTGTATTCTAGGTTCTCAAACATTTGCTTATATTCTAGGTTCTAAAACGTATTCTAGTATTCTAGGTTCTAAAACGTATTCTTGTATTCTAGGTTCTAAAAAGTATTCTTGTATTCTAGGTTCTAAAACGTATTCTAGTATTCTAGGTTCTAAAATGTATTCTTGTATTTTAGGTTCTAAAATGTATTCTTGTATTCTAGGTTCTAAAACGTATTCTTGTATTTTAGGTTCTAAAACGTATTCTTGTATTCTAGGTTCTGAAACGTATTCTAGTTTCCTACAAGAAGATTGAAGAATCAATTAACAAGATTGATACTAAAGGTAAAAAAAAGACAATATAAAACATGGTTAACGTCCCCAACCTCGGAAGCATAAACATTTACAGACCCATAACTATTGTCGCAAACATACATAAAAAAGTGAAACCAGAAACCAGAGATTATGACAGAGTATCCTTATAAAACCCAGTGTCGGAAACGTGGTTTCACGAAAGGGGTCAGACAATTTTGTAGATAACAATACATTTTTAAAGAAATTAATGGTACTTCTTGATGTAAATCTACACAAATATATACACCCCAAAAAGGACACTTGGTAGTTTCCTTAAAAGATAATCTTTTTCAATTCCCGTTCAGAGCAGAAACTTTTTAGAAAAATTGTGTAATGAACTCAGTATTGGTTGAGTCAATGTGTGTATAAATAANTTAAAGTCTGATTGGCCATAAACCTTCCCTGGGGCCAAGTAAGGTCCCACACAAAATTTGGGCCTGATCGGTTTAGCCGTGTTGACGTTTATTGGATACAAACGTACAAACAGACACCCAGACAAAAGACAGATGTAAGCCTCAAAAGGAAAACTCGTGTCAAACTCTTCTCCTTTAATCAATTAGAAGTTTTATAATTCTTATAGATGAAGTAGTCGAAACTTAAGTTTTATAATTCTTATAGATGAACTAGTCGAAACTTAAAAGAAAAATTATCAAAGATTATCTTTCATAAAAACCTTTTTAAAATCTAAAAAAATAATTTTTAAAAATTTTTGTGGGGGTGTGGCGAGTGCTTAGATCCTATTTATAAATTGATACTGATTTGAAGATATAATGTATGTGAACAAACTTTGTAATTTTGTTTGTGATTTATACAGGCAATAGGTATAGACTTAACTTTAGCATGAGATTCCCAAAGGTCCTGAAAAGCCTATTTTTAGGGAGTTTAACACATTGCTGTCGGCGCCTTTGGAGGGCAGATGTAGAAATTAACAACAGTTTTTAAGTCCTCTCTTAACTCCAATATTCACTCAGACATTCTTTATTTCTTTTACATTTAAATTGGGACACCCTTTATTGTTTTACACTACAATTGGGCACTCTTTTTTTTACATTTAAAATTGGGACACCGTTTATTATGTTACATTTTATATTGGACACAGTTTTTTTACATTTAAATTTGGACACTGTTTATTTTTAAACTTTTAAAGAGACACCCTCTATTTTTTATACTTAAATTTGGACACTGTTTTTTTGTACATTTAAATTGATACACCCTCTATTTTTTATATTTAAATTGGGACACCGTTTATTTTTTTATACGTTTAAATGGGACACCCTCTTTTTACATTTAAATTGGGACACCCTGAATAATATATTTTGCTGATTAGGTGATGAGTCCACCGGTGCACGACTAGTTGAATCAGATCTTCTCTACTTGGGGCAGTTGGCTTCGGCTGATAGGTAGCTGATAGTTTTTCAAAGTATTAACTGATAGTTTTAAAAATTATCAGCTAATAGTTTAATAGTTTTATATAATATCAGCTGAAAGTTTAATACATTTTCAGCTGATAGTTTTATATAATATCAGCTGATAGTTATATAATGACAGCTGATAGTTATATATATTATCAACTGATAGTTTTCTATAATATCAGTTGATAGTTTTATATAATATTAGCTAATAGTTTTATAAAATATCAGCTGATAGTTTTATATAATATCAGCTGATAGTTTTATATAATATCAGCTGATAGCTTAATGCATTATCAGCTGATAGTTTTTTATAAATTCAGCTGATAGTTTTATATAATATTAGTTGACAGTTTTATAAAATATCAGCTAATTGTTTTATAAAATATCAGCTAATAGTTTTATTTAATAGCAGCTGATAGTTTTTTATAAATTAAGCTGATAGTGTCATATAATATTAGCTGACAGTTTTATAAAATATCAGCTGATAGTTTAATATAATATCAGTTGATAGTTTTATATATTATTTGCTGATAGTTTTATTACATATCAGCTGATAGCAAACCCAATAACTTATGAACAATGAATATTGAACCTAAAGAGTACACAGGAAACATATGGACATCATGTGACCTTCAAAGCACTATATGCATGATTCACTTTATGCTTTAAAAACTTTATCGAATAATAAGTGGGGAAGATTTTTTTGGCTTAAAAATATAAAAATGTAAAAACTTCCCTAGATTTTAGTAATTTTCTTTCTTGCAAAAATCCGCGCGTCGCTTTTATAGAAACTATAATTGAAAAAANAAAGGGTAATGTTGTGAATAGGATATAAAGGGTAATGTTGTGAATATGATATAAAGGGTAATGTTGTGAATAGGATATAAAGGGTACTGTTGTGAATATAATATGCAACTCTTCAAATGGAGGTTCACTTATCAGTCCCTTGAATGTATTTAACAGCTAAGTCTAATTTACCAGGAATCCCGATCTGTCTGCAGAAATCCTATCTGTTCTAACAGCCAGGAATACAACAGCTGACAGCAACTATAACCAAGGAATACATTTATATTCGTTAATAATAATTCTCTTCGCTCGAATATTTGTATATTAGCTAAAGCTGGCCAAACGGCTGGACCGAATGGGCTGAAATTTGTTGAGGAACTAATGGGTGCCCGGGAAGTAACATAGAAGGCTTAACGAAATTCGACATTGTTTTTTATAAAGCCCAATTAAAGAAGTATTCTGTAAATTCATACTTTTATAATTATATTTTTACGTGTTATACTGTGATGAGGAACAGAACACGCTCCACAAATTCAAATTTCACAATTTCTACATCTTTGTACCCTGATTAACTGTAACTTCTGCTAGTTTATAAAGTGTAGAATATCAAAGGTTTAAAAAATCAGGTTGCTAAGTTAAAATAATTCGAAAATTTGTATTTATATCATTAAAAACTATTCAGAAAATCTAGGAAAAGTGTTATTACTTGAATTTTCCCCAACTAAAGAAAAGATCAAAAGAATTGTAAACATAGAAATTCTTTCATACAAAACAAAGTTGTAGGATTTTTATTTTCAAACTATTTGGAGACTTAAGACTAATAAGGTCAGATCAGAAAGAAATTCTTTCACAATAAATTTATTAATGTATACAAAACTACATACAGGGTGAGTCAAAAAATGTGTGATTAGCTGGAGCAAACTGTTTCTTTTTGGTGCAACTGTCCTAGCTGTATGGTGTTTTTTTCAATATTTTTTGGCCCAAATAAATCCGCTAACCTTTTTTTCTCTTAAAATCAAAAGTTCAGAAAAGCAAAAATGTATATATAAAATATTTCTATCAAAATCTAAAATTTTATAAAGATTGAATAACAGAATCACAGCAAATTCGCAAAATTGTAATAAGAAAATTTTCAATTTTCAGTTCTAATCTAATTTTTAAGGAAAAGTTGTTTTTCAATGGTTCTTCAGGTTTCAACTGAACAGCAAATATATTTAAAACTTTAGAATATACTAAGAAGAAAGAAACTAGAGAATATAAATAACTTTTCCTTAAATAATTGACCAGAGCTGAAAATTGCGAATTTTCTTATTATAGTTTTGACAGAAAATATAAGCGGGTCTGATTTTAATTAAACTTTCTTGCACTTAAAAAGATTAATAATCCAGTTTATTATATAATTAAAATGAGTGTAATTAAGACTTTCATTTGATAAACTTTGATTTGATAAACTTTCATTAGATTAACTCTCATTTGATAAACTTTCATTTAACCAGCTTTCATTTGATAAAATTTCATTTGATAAACTTTGATTTAATAAACTTTCATTGGATAAACTCTCATTTGATAAACTTTAATTTAACCAGCTTTCATTTGATAAAATTTCATTTGATTAACTTTTATTTGATAAACTTTCATTGGATAAACTCTCATTTGATAAACTTTCATTTAACCAGCTTTCATTTGATAAAATTTAATTTGTTAAACTTTGATTTGAAAAAATTTCATTTGATTATCTTTAATGTGAAAAAAACTTTACAAGATAAACTTTGATTTGATAAACTTTCCTCTGATAAACCTCTTTAATTTAATAAACTTTTATTTTAATTGCTTAGCTGATGTACGAAAAGAAACCGTGAACACTCACTTTAAAAAATATTTAACTGTGCTTAAAAGTTTGATTATTCTCTTTGAAATTAGCCTTATCTAAGTTGAAGTTTGTCAGGGACTTAATCATTAACTATAGTCATTATATAGTCATTATATAGTCATTATAGTCATTATAGTCAGTATTGTTATTATACTCATTATAGTCATTATATTCATTATATTCATTATATTCATTATATTCATTATATTCATTATATTCATTATATTCATTATATTCATTACAGTCAGTATTGTTATTTTATTCATTATAGTCATTATATTCATTATAGCCATTATATTCATTATGTTCATTACAGTCAGTTATTATATTCATTATATTTATTACAGTCATTGTTATTATATTCATTATAGTCATTATATTCATTACAGTCAGTATTGTTATTTTATTCATTATAGTCATTATATTCATTATAGTCATTATATTCATTATAGTCATTATATTAATTATATTCATTACAGTCAGTTATTATATTCATTATATTTATTACAGTCAGTATTGTTATTTTATTCATTATAGTCATTATATTCATTATATTCATTACAGTCATTATATTCATTATGGTCAGTATATTCATTATATTCATTACAGTCAGTTATTATATTCATTATATTTATTACAGTCATTATAGTTATTAAAGTTATTATAGTCATTATAGTAATAACAGTAATTATAGTCACTATTTTTGGTTACGGGACTTTTCGACCTCATAACACCTCAAGTTATTGTTATAACTTCAGCGTCCAGAGTGTTACATTTGTGATCGAACTTTTTAGAACAAACATTTTGCTTTCAATTTAAACATGAAAAAAACCACAATATCTTCCGCTTTAAGATTGTTTCAATATTTGAAACTAAAATATAAATGTTTAAAAGAGAGGTTTCGCACTGAACAGTTTCTAGCAAGTGAAGAGAAGAGAAAATCCAGGAAAATCTCGGAAAATCAGGGAAATTCACAGATTAAATATTTTATTGGAATTGAAATCGGAATTCTGTCGTTTCAGATTATTTATTTTTATTTTCAATAATTATACTCTGTTAGATAACCCTTACATTCTTTGAATAATTTCAAAACAAGTTTAANTATATGTAAAAGAAAAAAAAAATTTTTCTTAAATTATTTTTTCTCGAGGATTTAAATTGGGTCTTTGTTGATTTATTTTTAGATTAACTTTTAAATAGGGGTTAACAAACCTGAGTTTGTGGCAAGAACTTATATAGATTTGAAAAGAATTCAGTATTAAAAATCCAAGCTTGATTGAGTGGAATAACAAAGCATAGTTGCACACACAATATATTTACATTATAAAGATACAAACCATTATTGTTGGACCAACTAAAGTTGATATAAATATACATGAAATTCGTCAGGGGCGAATATATTTCCATTTGACTCTTCTAATCAGATGCTTCATGCTAACTGATTTCCCTAAGGAACTCTGGGGCTAAGATGGCCGATGATCTGCTTTCTCTGCCAGCAAGATAAATTCCGCTTGACGTTAGTCTTATCTCTAGATAAGAAAGAGGGTTCAAAACCCTTGTCCCTCTACAATATTACTACTTTCTCCAACATCGATTCTTGCACCCCGCGGCCGGCAGGTTGTATCTCTAGTTAAGATAAGGCGTTCAACACCCTTGTCCCCCTACACTTATATGTATTTAAGGCTGCAAACATACCCAAAGTTCAATACCCTTTGGGACTGGATCTAGATTGTTTGGCTTTATTCTTAGATTGCATTTGTTATGTGCATTATTTCTCCGACTGGGAGCAACTAACTTATATGAGATTATTCTCATATGGATGAACCCTTGGTTGGGTTCACACTAAGTTCCTTTTAAATCTATGAAAATTGTTGTAACCAAAAAGCCAGCTTTTGTATAAGGGAATGCATTTTTTTATTAAATATACCGTATAATAAGAATTTATTAACCAAAGACAGAAAAGGATTAGTCTTTCCAGACTGTATAATTGAATATGTATCCCTCTACAATATGTTAATTTTTTGTATCACAAAAACATTGTTTAGCTAAAGATTAAGATATTTTGGAAAATACTTCTTTTTTTGGCGAATACTATGCTATCAGTTCGCGCCCATCTTCTATTTCAATTTTTAACTGTTGCAAAANATACTGTTCATCTGTTTCAAAAATGACAATGACAGTTAAAATGAAAATAACAATGACTTAATGACATTGAATTATCTTGTTCAGAACAACCGTTACTTCATCCTGCATCCTGTTGCTGTAGAGGTATAAAACCATAGAGAATAGAATATATATTAGAGTGGAATTTACTAATTTACTAGAAAAAGGTGTAAAACGGCCATTGTGTTGCACTGTTTCCATACTGCAGGTGTACTTCACATATTTGCGCCTGCGCTATATAACCTTTTGGGCCCTTGAATATCATTTTATAGAAAATCTAAAATAAATATCAAAAGAAAACCAAATTATAAAATAGGCTTGTTTATAATTGACCAATGATCATTTCACATAGACTCGATGACTTTCACTTTACTAACGATGATTTTTCGTTATATTTATAAATCAAATGATGTTTTTATTCACCTTAATTCAAATTATAAAGTTTATTTATAACAGCTTTAAAAAATTCGAAATTGAAATGGATAGTCTAGGGAACATACTGTATTAATGTACTCTACTGCATATAATTTGTGAACATTTACATGATTTGTACACTTTGAACTCCCTTTCAGGCTGAAAGGGACTGAAAAAATCCATACCGAGAGATTCTTTAAATTCCCCTCTAATATATATTCTATTCTCTATGTAGAAAACTATGTATAATTATTACTTAAACACTTGCAAAATATAGCTTAGTTTTTTATTATAATCTATTTAATTATTGTTCACACTGATTATGTCTTCGATTAGCATATAAGGCATATACAAAGCACTTAATAAAGCCTATTTATACCAAAGGAATTGAGTCTTTGGAACAAAATCAAATATTTAAACTTCAATATCTCTAGAACCCAATGTTGTAAACCTTAGATATTTTAAACTCAGATTATTTGATCTAACAGAATTCATAATTTGAAATATCTAATGTCTACAATATTTGGTTCCAAATATGTAGGGATTAGAAAATCATAGTTTTTGGCAAAGACTCAATTCCTTTAACATTCACACACAATTTTGGTAATTGGTATTTTACTCTCAGTAAATAAAAAGAGTCTAGAGATATGGAAAAACTTAACGGAATTGAAAACACTTCTAAACAATATAAACTCAACTTAATTCGATCCGACTCGAGACTAACAAAGATACACTGTATGGAAACCCAGGGAAACCAAACCGAAAAATAGAATTAAAAGTACTTCACTTTTAATCCAGAATTGAAATAACACATATATATATATTTATGATTAAATATAAACGACTGAATTATCGTAGAAATAATGAATGATTCAAATATTCAGACCCCATAAGAACAAAACAAATATGAAGAAAAAGACTAAAATCATTTCACATTTAATCTAGTTCTGAACTTAATAACCGTTATATTCGACCTTGGTTTCGTTTTTGGCTTGACAGTAAATATGAAAAAATAGAGATTTATGTTTGGAGAGGCTAGATTATAATTGGAATCATGAACATTAAAAATTAAATTCAATAAACTCATCAAAATTAAATTCAACATCGACTTTTTGCTAGGCAGTTCACACCTTCTTTATATATCTAGATTTAACGAGTGTATTTATATAGCGCATAGTATACAAAAATCACAATTGTGCGGATCCCTATTTTTTTAGTCAGTCAAGTCAATGCTGCAAAGTTTTGCTTTTATTTCTGCTTCTTGATAAACCTCTTGGTTAATAGTAGGATTCACAAAGTATATCAAATCTGCGGCTTAAAATCATGAAAAAACACACATTCAATACAGGAAAGGGAAATAATAATAAACAAAATAAAATTCTTAATGATTTCTGCGGTATTTACTGTTACAATAAAAGTTTGAGAAAATGACTTATTTATATTAAAGATTCGGTCCTTCCCTTCCACAGGTTGTGTGAACAGAAATTGTTTATTTGCAGTACACAATCTGCGTACATTTAATTTGGGGGTTAATTTTTCTTTTGTATATTCCTTAGTTTTCCTTGATCGGGCTAAGGTTTAAAGGGTTCATGTACATAGGACGTGCCTCTATATTTAAAATGGGGGTCATTTAAAATTACGCCAACACTCCCTTTAACCCTTGATCTTTTTCTTGTTTAGGAGGCGTACCCTGAACCTCATAGAATCCTGATATTTCACAATGTGTTGACCCTCGCAGAGACGGATCTGCTGGCTCAGGTCGCTAAACCACTCATGGCAGTTTCACAAATAGGTTTGTACTTTGCAGTTAAACCCTATACCTTATTTCCGCTGAACCATGTTTTATATTCAGCAAGTACACCCTATACTTTATCTCCGCTGAACCCTGTTTTATATTCAGCAAGTACACCCTATACTTTATCTCCGCTGAACCCTGTTTTATATTCAGCAAGTACACCCTATACTTTATCTCCGCTGAACCATGTTTTATATTCAGCAAGTAAACCCAATACTTTATCACCGCTGAACCTTGTTTTATATTCAGCAAGTAAACTGCAGATTACTGCAGTACGCACCGAAACCCTAGTTGCGGGTGAACGGTAATAAAAGTGTTTAGTAAAAAAAATAAGTATTTATTAAACTTGGTAGTTCAGTTTACGTACACCTCAATAGAAAGGAATGATTGTTTTGAGATGAAAACATTGTTTCTACACTGCGCAGTGTGCAGTGCCCACTGGTTCACACTTGCCTCTCCGTTAGTCCTGTAATTGCAAATGAACCGAAGTTTACAGAAGATTACAAAAATTTGTCAAAATTTACTTTTTTAAACTTGGCAATATTATTATATTTAGCAATATCATTAAACTTGGCAATATCGCTAAACTTGGCAATATCATTAAACTTGGCAATATCATTAAACTTGGCAATATCATTAAACTTGGCAATATCATTAAACTTGGCAATATCATTAAACTTAGCAATATCATTAAACTTGGCAATGTCATTAAACTTGGCAATGTCATTAAACTTGGCAATGTCATTAAACTTAGCAATATCATTAAACTTGGCAATGTCATTAAACTTGGCAATGTCATTAAACTTGGCAATGTCATTAAACTTGGCAATATCATTAAACTTGGCCCAAATGTAAACTTGGCAATATCACTAAACTTGGCAATGTCATTAAACTTGGCAATATCATTAAACTTGGCCCAAATGTAAACTTGGCAATATCTTTATCCTAAAAAATTTGAAAAACGAACTTTTCGAGTCAATCTTTCCCAATGATAAAGATTGAAAGTACACTGTTGTAAATTGGACATGGTCACATGCCACTCTTTTTAGTAAAGGTCAAAATCTAAAGATGGTCCTTTTTTACCTTAGATAATCCATTAGATATAATAAACATGCCCAGTACAAGGAAGAATAGTGAATAAACAATGATATTATACCTCACATGACCCATTTTCAGTTCATTCTAAATTTTCATCTTTGGAGGTCATTACTATTTGGAGGTCAATGACCTACTATTTGGATGTCAACGACCTACGTTTTGAAGGTCAAAGACCTACGATTTGTAGGTCAAAGACCGAACACTGAGTCTCCATTGCTTTGTTGAGTAACGTTGACATTTCCAGAATATCCTAGTGCACCGTCCTTTTATAACCTTGATAAGCAACTTAACTATTGTCTAGGAGCGAGCAAAGAAATCTCTGAAAACCGAATCAGCAGAACGGCATTTATACCTGACAACCAGTATGAAATAGTAGACAGGTTAGTCAATAGAAGTTTATTGCTGGCGTTTCAACGGTTTTACTTTTTTAACAGCCTTGGAAAGGTTTCATAATTCATGTAACTTTTCTGAAACCAATTGATGCGGAAAAAATAGAAATCCTAAAATAATGTTTTTAGAATAAATAGAAGAATAAACCTGTTAACTGGTTTATCTGGCTCTGTGGTTTTGGATCCTGAAGGAAAAAAAGAAGAGTTTGAATACCTTCAGGTAATTTTTTAGGAACGTTTGTGTCAACCTAACTTTACATTTGTGTCAACCTAACTTTACATTTGTGTCAACCTAACTTTACATTTGTGTCAACCTTACTTTACATTTGGGTCACCCTAACTTTACATTTGTGTCAACCTAACTTTACATTTAGGTCAACCTAACTTTACATTTGTGTCAACCTTACTTTACATTTGGGTCACCCTAACTTTACAGTTGGGCCAACCTAACTTTACATTTGGGCCAACCTAACTTTACATTTGGGTCATCCTAACTTTACAATTGGGTCAACCTTACTTTACATTTGGGTCAACCTAACTTTACAATTGAGTCAACCTTACTTTACATTTGGGTCAACCTAACTTTACATTTGGGTCAACCTAACTTTACATTTGGGCCATCCTAACTTTACATTGGTGTCAACCTAACTTTACATTTGGGCCAACCTAACTTTACATTTGGGACAACCTAACTTTACATTTGGGTCAACCTAACTTTACATTTGGGCCATCCTAACTTTACATTGGTGTCAACCTAACTTTACATTTGGGCCAATCTAACTTTACATCTGGGACAACCTAACTTTTCATTTGGGTCAACCTAACTTTAAATTTTACAAGCTCTCACCTCTCAGAAACTACAAAAAAATATTTTTGATCGGCTAAGTCGTTTTGACAGATACAGGGTAACCCACAAAGGATTATATTACAAAGACGACCTAAAACATATGATGATCCTAAGGTTTATAGTCTTTTAATAGCTTTGTATATGATTTAGCAAAGAAAGTAACAAGTTTAAAGTTCCAAGGAATCAGGAAGTTAAGGAAACATCATTCCTGAAGTCTCATCCTTTGGGGCGTAGATAGAATTACAGATTGTGCTATTTTATCTATTTTATCTATGAAACGGATAAAATTTTGTTTAACATTTTTTCCATAATTTTTAGATTGCTAGCTACGGGACTGGTGGGCACTTTTATTTGCATCACGACCCCATGTTTGTTTATAAGGTAAAATTTAATTAAAAATCTAAAATTCATTTTCGTAATTTTTCTCTTTTTTAGGATTCAAATTTCGTTTCTAAATCTGTAGAGAGGGTTACGAAACCATATAATACAGGCAGGATGGTTGTTATCTATTAAACATTCAAATATTACTTCACTCTAACCAAAGTGTTTTGTTCTGATTATAAATAATTAGTAATATGGTTATATATATTTATTATATATATGTATACATGTAGTAAACGCCTACTCCATAACAAGTTCTCGAAACGTATCTATCCAGGTACAATCCGTCCGCTATCAAATTCAACCAAGACTGAATTCCAGGCTCTAAATGCCACACAGGGACACAAGCCTAGCTATACAACAAGCTATATATATCGATTCCAAATTAACGGGGGCGATACCACCTGGTTATATCAACACAGGGTTTCAGGATTACTCTCTCATAATAATCAGCACGGAGTTATTTTATCAACTGAGGTGTATTTCTGAGTTTAGATTAGAATTGGGTTATTAACAGCGTTACAAGTTATGCGATGTTATATATATAACGTAGTTAAACAATCACAATATGAGTTAAATATATCTATACTAAAAACTTCAAACCTTTAAACAAATTTAAATCAAAATAAAATGATCTATCAGTAAACAGTTCTCGAAATGGACCAGAAATGCACAAATTACAGTTAATATAAATTTGTATGAAATTCCGCTAAAATTCTTTTGTGCAATTTCCACGCAATTTCGTATGCACAAAACTTCGCATTTCTACTGAAACCAGGAGCAAACATGTGCGAATATTCTGTGTTTTTTTTCTCTAACAGTTGTTTAAAAACGAGAAAGTTTCCCGATTCTATTACATAGTTAGTATAATAACTAATGGATAATGAATAATGTTTATTATAATAGGATAAAAGATACTAGATTCTGTGGAGGGAGGGTAGGGAGCAAGGAGGGAGAAGAAGAGATGGGAGGGGGGAGGGAGAATGGGGAGAAAGAGGGGGGAATATAATTAGCTCCTTATATACATATATCAAGGGAGCACAGGTGGATTAGCTTTTTGATCAAGAAGTGGGAAGGAAACTTTCTTAGAATTTAAATATGCGAAACCAAAATATTTTTACTTTTCAACTTTAGTTAGTTTTATCTTTATACTCTCTTCTCTAACTAGTTATGCTCTTTTTACCTTATCCTAATCTTTCAAATAAAAATTTAAACTTCGACAAGAACCGGAGGAAAATTTTCTTTTTATAGACTTTGTCAAACTTTATTTAGAAAATTTCGTATTGCTTTTTCTTCAGTTTGTAGATAACTACAGACAAAATGAAGCAAGCCCTAAAGTTAAAATTAAAGCCAGAAAAAAGCCAATTGCAGAGTTGGTGAAATCAAACCCCAAGTCATTGCGACACTTCTATGTTGACGCGGTCTTAAAGTCTGATAAATAACTTTCGATCATATATATCTGTGATATTATACTTGTAGCAGATTTGCAATGGTTCTGTGACGTAATCCATGTTTTGAGATGCTTTGAAAGAGACCTCAAATATCTTCAAATGGCAAGATGAGAGGATGGGAGGATGACGTAAAAATAGATTTAATCTAAAAAAGATTTTTTTAAATTTGACTATTACATTTCTGGCAAAATTTTTCACATTTTTTTGGATTTAATGATTTGAGAAAAAATGGATATTTTATTCATATGCCGTGATTTAGTAGGATATATTTAGGATTTGATGGATACATTGAAACCTCATTCAAGATTTTCATCTTTACATATCTATTCAGCTAAATAGGATTTTAGGAAAACCTCTCTTTTATCAAAATACTGAAAAACATCCTTTAGATATTTCTTAATCCGTACACTTTTGGTAAAGAGGGGGGATACAGTTACAGGTGAACCACATTAATTCTGAATCCGAGCCTTTTAATCGGCATTTTCTATTAACACCTAAAAAGGGCTAAAATACTCCTAAAAAAAACGTAATTATCAAAACTCAGGAAAACCTCTAGTAATGTGAACGCGGAACAATTTAGGGCTTTCAGCAAATTCCAACGGATCAAAGTTTTTTTTAAAAATTATTTCTTCAATATTTGTTTCATTTTAAACTAAACGGCTGGAAGAAATGTAAACAAACACAGAGCTGAATCAAGTAATATTTAAATATATAGACCAGGACAAGGTATTAATGGAAGGAAAGTTATTTCAGAGGTGTACGCATTTTTTGTACTGCAGTGTACTGTCTTTGGGCGAATTTCACAACCTGACATGGAATCCATTAAATATTCTGGTCATAGGAAACTATTATGTGAATTTTCAAAATTATCAAAATTTAATGCTTTTAACCTCCTCGGATACTAGACGAACACTGATGCATTATTCTTGTTTACAAATTCCGCCCAGAGAGAACTGGTTTCAATATGTACGCAGATTATACTCGACCGAACTTTTCTTGCATTAGTACCTTGGGCTAAGCTTTGTTTTTATTCCTCCCAGAAACTGCAGTACAATTTATTTGTAAACAAAGATTTAGATACTATATGGTATTGCAACCCAGAGCCGGAATTTTAAGAAAGATCGTTGAATGAAAATCCCTCGTGTTTCCTTTTCCTGTTTCCAAAATGTTAAAATCTATATATTTTCTTTCACGAACCTTGACTGCCGAAACCGGGAACCTTATTTACCGAATTTGAGCTAGATCACTGAACTAACTACTATCAATTCAAATATATGTACCTAGTGTAGTTACCATCTTTAAGGACATAAACAAATCCTAAACCACCGTTTCAAGATAATCTGTTCTCTCTTGCAGTTATATAATTAAATTAAAGATATTTGAAATTAAAGATATTTAAAATTAAAGATATTTGAAATTAAAGATATTCAAAATTAAAGATTAAAATGAAAGGTTTAGATTTAAATATACACTCATTCCAAGGTTTGTATACTAAAGGTAGGGGGAATAGAATTTCTGCATTTTTTGTTTCGTATTTAAAGAAAATAAACAATCGTTAGTAAACAAACCCGGCCTTCCAAACACAGGAAAGTTTTTAACAATATTTGTTATTGTTTTGATAAAACTTGTTTCTGATAGTCAAAAGTTTACTTGGGTCATTTCATAGACAAAACATTTTAAAGAGAACATTTCATGGACGGGACATTTCATTGACAGAATATATGAGACATTTTATAAATAAGACATTTTATAGATATGACATTTTATAGATAGGACATTTTAGAGAAAGAGAATATCTATCACAGATAGGACATTTCATAGATAGGACATTTTATATGAAGAGAATATTTTTCACAGATAGGACATTTCATTGATAGGACATTTCATAGATAGGACATTTCATAAAAAGAGAATATTTTTCACAGATAAGAAATTTTTTCTACTTTCAATTGTAATCTTATCTGATAAGAAAATCATAACCATGTTCTTTCTACAATCCCTCTGACTTATATGTATCTCAAATTGATCTTATTTTGTTCAACCCAAAACCTTAAATTGTCTCTGAAAAATTGTTTTTCTGTCTTTGAAATTACTGTCTCTGAAAATACATCTCTATCTGAAAAATTATCTGCCTATGAACAATCTGCTCTTTCCATGAAATGTCCTATCTATGAAATGTCCTATCTTGGAATTTCTTTTCCTATGAAATGTCCTGTCTATGAAATGTCTATGATTTCATAATCTATTAAATGTCTTTTTATAAAACGTCTCAACACCCCTACCTTTAGTATAATCACCTGACTCATCAGCCCTTCATTGCTGAACCGGGGATTACATCAAAAGAATGAAGCAATGGAGGACAACAAATTAATAAATTAATGAAAAGGAAGAGTGAATAAATAAAGGACAATTAATTTAATTTTTTTTAAATTTTACCTTCAAAAATTGCCGAGATGCTTGAAAAATTTGAAATTGTTTTCTAGTTTTAATGTATTATATGATTTTATATCAATCGAAATTGTCAACATTTCCAATATCTTTGTCATTTTTATAGACATGATAGGGTTTTTTTTACAACGTGGCCGGCATCTCCATATTTATTCATAGCTGGGGAGGGGAAGAGGTTAGAGATAGTGCATTTTCAAACGAAAGTATTCACTATTAAATTTGATTTGTCGCCGTAAATTCTCATTGTCCACAAACATTTCTGAAGATTTCCTGGAATTTTTATTGAAACGATGACATTTGAAGAATGTGAAGAAATCTGCGAATAAATTCATAAAGAATAAGAAATTCAATTAAATACAAAAAAGAAATAATTGATTTAAACATGATTTATTGAGAAAATCTCAATTGAGAAATATGTTCCCAAAAATCTAATTTAATTACTGTAAAATTTTTTTTCATTTTTTGTCGTCGTTACTTATTATTTTGCAATCATATTTTGCAATTATATTTTGCAATCATATTTTACAATCATAATTTGCGATCATATTTTGCAATCATATTTTGCAATCATATTTTGCAATCATATTTTGCAATCATATTTTGCAACATATTTTGCAGTCATATTTTGCAATCATAGTTTACAACATATTTTGCAGTCATATTTTTCAATCACATTTTACAATCATATTTTGCAATCATAATTTGGAATCATATTTTGCAATCATATTTTGCAATTATAATTTGGAATCACATTTTGCAATCATATTTTGCAATCATAATTTGGAATCATATTTTGCAGTCATATTTTGCAATCATATTTTGCAATCATAGTTTACAACATATTTTTTTACAATTTTTTTACAGTTTTTGTCGTCGTTATTTATTATTTTGCAATCAGATTTTTCAATCATATTTTGCAATCATATTATGCAATCATATTTTGGAATCATATTTTGATCTCTAATTCAAAATCCGTCAAAAAGAGCAGAAAAGACTTTATTGAATTTATTATCTAATAAATAGCAAGTTTATGCAACATCACTGGTACGACTTTGTGACCTCGTAGCTCCTCTAGTTTTGATTTTACGCACAAAGCATTAAATCAGCGAATTTATCCAGTTACATAATAGAAATGTAAAACATGTTTTTTCTTCTTAATAGTTCTTTAAAAAACGTGCTATTTAATTTAGTTTGACCTTGACGTAATATTGGCCAACAAAACAGTTTAAAATATCGATTGCAAAAAAAATCTTTATTTTACCGGCTTACTAATCAGACCCTTAGTTTTTGATTTGTGAAACAGTCTAAAACAATGATAGAATGAATGAATGCTCTGTTAACAGCCTAGAGTCTAGGTGACCGGATGACCACCTTGATGTTCTACCTGACCGAGGTCAAGCAGGGGGGATACACCGCCTTTCCCCGCCTAGGGGTCTCTGTCAGGTATGTTGTATTTTCACAGGCGCAATTCGGGTGTTGTTGTGTCATGCAAGACTATTTCATCGCAGGCTTTGTTTAGAATTAGATATGTTTAACCTTTTTCCCCTGTTTTCCCATGCAAATTTCCTTTTTTTTGACAATTTCCAGACTCCACCTTTTTATGTTAATCTATTTGCAAAGTTTTTTGTTTTCTGGAACCTACTGAACAAGAAAACTAGGTTTATAATGGTTGAAGTGGACTTGGAAGTTTACTTAAGTTTTTCTGGTAAAAGGTTCTTATATCTTCAAGAAGAGATGTTAGTTTTAGATATTTGAAAGATCTATCCGATTATTGTGAAAATCATTGCATTAAAGGAACTGTTAGTGTAGTTTCAAGTAACTCTCCATGCACAGACAGCAATGCCATATTTACAAGGGTTCCCTTGAAACATTAATTTTATAAAAAATGTGAAAAATTCCGCTTTTCTTCTCACTCGAAAAGTTTTTATTTCTTCGAGTTTCTCCATTGCTTCCTGGAAGCAAAGAAAACACAAATGAAAAGAAACAGTTTGATGAGACAAAAAAATGTCTAATTAATTCAATCATGATCAGACAACGCTTTAAAGGTACAGAACATTGCCATATTTGGAAGGAGGTTCGTTTAAAATTACGTTTACAGTTCTTTAACTCTAATATTTTGGTCTAAAGAATTTTTAAAACTTTCAAGACCCGCTTTCTAGCAGCGTTGTGTGCATCTCTAACAGCGCTGTGTGCATCTTTAATAGAGCTGTGTGCATCTCTATCAGCGCTGTCTGTGCATCTCTATCAGCGCTGTGTGCATCTCTATCAGCGCTGTGTGTGCATCTCTATCAGCGCTGTGTGCATCTCTAACAGCGCTGTGTGCATCTTTAACAGCGCTGTGTGCATCTTTAACAGCGCTGTGTGTGCATCTCTATCAGCGCTGTGTGCATCTTTAACAGCGCTGTGTGTGCATCTCTATCAGCGCTGTGTGCATCTCTAACAGAAATTCTTGATCAGAAAGGTTTTCTTCTTAATCTCTGTCAAAAATGAAATATTAAAAAGAAAAACACATGTTTGGTTTCTTTTAAATTCATAAAATGTTTGAAGTTGTAAAAAGTTTGAATTTTTTTAAATATCATTGAACCTGAATATTTTGCTTGTTAAAAGTTTTTTTTATTGAATATTTTGTGGAAAAATGTGTATATATATATATATGGCTTCTATTTCAATTGTTGTAAAACAAAAACAAACAAAAAAGTTCACTGACTTAAAAAATCGTGATTTTTAAGAATTTAATGAAGGTCCCTAGATGTCCCACAAAAAATTGAGCCCGATCGGTTCAGCCGTTTTGACGTTTATTGGACACAAACAAACACACACCCAGACAGACAAGCAACGTATATATATAAATATATAATTTGTTTTTTTATTGAATAATTTGTGGAAATCTATTAATATATATTAAAATCTGTTTTCAGGAAATTTGATTTGAAAAGTTAAATCTAGTTTTCATAATATTTGGAAACCCGAGGAAAATATTAAACTTTAATCAACCTGGGGCCAAGTAGTAGCTGAACCGCGCAGGCGTAGTTCAACAACTTCTCATGTGCGCTGGTTCCAGCAATCACATATTTTTAGCCTGCTTATAAAATTCTCATCATTTTTTAAGACAAGGTCGACTTTAAAGTGTCACAACGCCTTGTGCTCTGACTTTATCGCTCTTACTTATGTTTTTCTTTAGCTCTTTACATGTACATTTTAGTACTACATATAAAGCACTTGTTGTAGAAGCATTTGGGAAAATTCTTATCGATTTTTGCCTGAGAGCCTGAGACCTTGAAATCACGTGAGCTGCGGTTTAACAATGGGTCGTTATCTGGTCCGTTCTAAATAATTATAAGAAAAATGTTACCCACATGTGCTCCAATTTATGCATTCACTCGTACTGTCCAGTCTGGAGTAGCACGCGTCATGCAACACTGTACCCTAGCCAGATCAAGGAACTCCAACGCTGAGAAAATCACAAGCAAAGTTAATAACTATATTAAAATTCAATTTTATGAAAATTGAGAAATTAGTCACATCTTAATCACAATACTAAAGAATTTCACAATATAGTGTGCACTTTTTATGTGAGAAAACAGCTTGAGGTTCCTTATTATAATTTATATATATGCCGGGTTTCCTTTTCAGATTTACATATTTAGAACTTTGAAAGAAAAACATATATAAAGGGTTTTTGTTTAAAGCTTTTTGCTTTTATGGAATCCTTCAAATCTCCTTCAAGTGGAAGGGACTGTATACGCGTGATTCAAAGTGTCCGATTCACAATGGTATACCCATTAAACCTTTATCTGATCAATTATGTAGATGATATTGTATTTTTTCGATTTAAGAGTTTAATTCTGATAATTCTTATATGTTCCTGCTGAAGAAATTCGCAAGTCACTTCTTAAAAACTATAAGCATAGATATCAAATGCATACTTGATCAGATACCGTTGTGAATCAGGAATTGTTATCATTGAATGGAGGGTCACTTGAAATTACACGTACAGTCCCTTAAATTACACGTACAGTCCCTTAAATTACACGTACAGTCCCTTAAATTACACGTACAGTCCCTTAAATTTGTCCCGTTTTTTAGTCTTTTGGGCTTTAAGAATATATTGTATATTGTATATTGTATATTGTATAGCTATACTCAGAGTTTAAAGGGTGAAAGTTCTCACGCAAACAATCTCGGAGTATTTTCTTATTAATTCTTTAAACTATAGAGCTAAAAATATGTCATTTACAGTTCTAAAATGTTTATGTCTGGGGCCATAACAAATTATTATTGAGTTGGTGAAGTAAAATCAAAAGACAAGACTTTGTGACACTTCAAAGCCTAAATTCGTGTTATTGTAAAATTCTTCATTTTATTAAAGTTGCAAACTCAACACGTACGAAAGATTGATGTAATTTCGAGCAGAATTAACTTTAAGCACTTGGTATACATAGAACAGAATAGATGTCATATTCTCTTTAATTCAATTCATCTTTTTTATCATACTCATTATCTTGATAATATTTTGAGCAAATTAGTGAAAAAACCTCCAAAATTATCTAAATTTAGAAAATTATGAAATTCCACAGAATTCTCTCTAATCGTCTACATAGTCTATGGAATCCTTTACTTTTCTACATAATCTGCGAAATACTCTACTCGTCTACAAAATCTGTGGAATTCTCTACTCGTCTACATAATATATAGAACTCTCTACTTGTCTACATAATCTATGGAATTCTTTACCTTTCTACATAATCTATGGAATCCTTTACTTTTCTACATAATCTGCGGAATTCTCTACTCGTCTACAAAATCTGTGGAATTCTCTACTGGTCTACATAATATATAGAACTCTCTACTTGTCGACATAATCTATGGAATTTTCTATTTTTCTACATACTCTGTGGAATTCTCTACTCGTCTACATAATCTGTGGAATTCTCTACTGGTCTACAGAATCTATGGAATTCTCTACTCGTCTACATAATCTATGGAATTCTTTACTTTTCTACATAATCTATGGAATTCTCTTCTTTTCTACATAATTTGTGGAATTCTGTACTTTTCTACATAATCTGCGGAATACTCTACTCGTCTACAAAATCTGTGGAATTCTGTACTAATCTACATATTATATAGAACTCTCTACTCGTCCACATAATCTATGGAGTTCTTTACTTGTCTACATAATCTATGGAATTCTCTTCTTTTCTACATAATTTATGGAATTTTCTACTTTTCTACATAATCTGTGGAATTCTGTACTAATCTACATAATATATAGAACTCTCTACTTGTCTACATAATCTAAGGAATTCTCTAATTTGAGAAAATGTCTGCTTTCAAGAGTGTGACTCTAGTTCTGAATTTTAATTATAATTAATATTCCTGTGTTGAGTTTCACAGCATTTAAAGTTTTTATTCAACATAATTATAGTTTAGCATACACTTTAACTTTCTTTAGAGTTAAAAATCCCCCAACCCTTGATTTCTCAACCCTATTTGCAATCAAAAGGTGCAATTAACAAAAAGCCACTAAAAATCTGCAATGGCAATGACAAAGTGATGTCAAGTTCTTTCGAATATTTGAATCAAAGCAAACAATTTAAAATTTGATAGATTTAAGTCTAAGTATCAAGTAAACCTTTTAATGAAATTATAAGACTTCTAATATTTAACAGTGTGCTCGCAGAATTAAATAACAGGAATTAAAGTTTGATTTATTGACATATAATTTTTGCGAGTTAAAAATTTGACAAAATTCGAACAAGTACGAAAGGTGCATAAAAATACATAAGTTTCAAACTAGTGGTAATATAGATAAAACATGCTACATGCTGCATGCCCAGTTCTCCTAGGTAATATAGATAAAACATGCTACATGCTGCATGCCCGGTTCTCCTAGGTAATATAGATAAAACATGCTACATGCTGCATTCCCAGTTCTCCTAAGTAATATAGATATAAGTCATGCACACATTGTGTAAACCTTTCAACAATTATATCTAATCGTTCATTATAAAGGAATTGAGTCGTTGCCACAAACTCAACAAACTCTACATCTTTGGAACCTGATGATGTAAACCTTTGATATTTCAAACTTAGATTATTTGATCTAACAGAATTCATAGTTTGAAAAAACTAGGTTTTACGACCTTTGATTACAAAGATAGAGAAATTAGCAAATCTGAGTTTGTGGCAATGACTCAATTCCTTTACACAATTGGATTTTCCGATCTTAAGGAATTGAGTTTTTGTCACAAACTTTGATTTTCTTTTCTTGTAGATTAAACCATGATAGTTTGAAATTTTAAAGGTTTACATCATAAGGTTGCAAAGATATAGGGATAGTCAATACCTTTCTACTAATATTCTTTCTCAAGAATAGATACGTGTCTCATTGTAAACACTTTTTTGTTTAAGTATTTTTAAGTGCAGACAAAAACTTTAAAAGTTTAATCTTGGACTAAACTTTCCTGACAAATGCAAAAGTAGGGTGACACAATCGACAATTCTTTTTTTGATTAAATAGACTGTAGACGCAATTTCAAATGACCCTCCGTGTATAGACCGGCTGGTCTGATGCACAATGGTACCCTTTAAATCTTTGTCTGCGTGATTTGTGCGTCAGGGGAAAAGAACAAAATTGTCAGAATTCAACGCTTTTCCAGATAGAACATCTTCATCATTTTTGCTGAGATAAAGTCTTATAACGGGTAAAATAGTCGGACATGATGCCACTCAATAGACGTCCAGGGTCAATTGAAATATCGTGTACAGTCCCTTTAAATGTATAAGATGAGTTATTTTGTTCCAGTCAGTGTTTCTTTGAAATATCAAAGGTTTAAACCATTAGGTTGCAAAGATGTAGGATTAGAAAATTAAAGATTGTTGCATATGTCCTTTGAATAAACATTTTTAAAAATATGTCATTTACA